ATTAACAAAGAAAACTGTGTGTATCAATCTTGTTGGCAAATATCATAAATTAGAGATATATCAGCATTTATTTAACTACTAAATCTAAATTACAATTTAACTCAGTTTTCGGCTATTCGAAATTGTAATACGTAACATCAGTTTGAAACGTGAACGTTTAAAGAATTATTGCTTTATGTGAGTCTTACAAGGGATGTAAATCTTAAATATGTTTTTTTCTATAGAAACGTAATGCTATAACTGTTATCTAATGCTATGGGTCATCTTAAAGTCATGACTTTCAACCAAGTCGTTTCATAAAAAAATATTAAAGGTACAATTTAAAGTTTTGGGAAATAAAAATTCTTCAACAGCTTATTGCTTTAAATGTGGTTTTCAGTTGTCACTTTTTGAAATTTTCTTATTAACGTACCTTTGATCCATATTGTATGAATAATATAATATTTTCTGTATTCCCTTTAAGTCTAAAAGGTTTGATAAACATATTTTAAAACTACTATGTCAGAATTAACTTTAATCCCTATTTTACAAATCGTAAATAAATATTTTGCAATCAGAGCATTATTAAGGTCTCATGTAAAACAGTAAAATCATAATCGGCCTAAATAAATGAATTCGACTCTTACACGAACTTTAAATATTGATCCTTATACACCTTAAATGAACCATTCAATCAACTTATCAACTAGCTCAGTGGTAAGTCTGAAGGCTCATAATACTAAAAATCGGGTTTAAATACCCGTGGTGGGCACAGCTGAGGTAGTCCTTTATGCATCTTTGGGCTTTCCTACAAACAAGCAAGCAAATCGACTTATTGTCAAACATATAATTATATCCGTTGCAAAATAACAACATTTCTTCGGTTTGGAATAAAATCTCATTGCAGTAAAAACTAGAAACATTCTTTACCCAAGTAAAATTAGGATAATACCAAACTGTATGACTGAGTATTTGTTTGTATTTAGAATTTTCGCTCACTAAGTTACACAAGTGCTACCTGCGCATAGCTATCCTTAATTTTGAAATGATAGACTAGAGGGAAACATCTAGTCAACAACACTCACCGATAACTCTTGAGCTACTCTTGTTTTACCAAGTAGCGTGACTCGACTTCACTTTTATAGCGAACCCGAGCTCCAAAGTGTGGAGCGACTTTTTGTAGTAACAGGTCATAAACCACTAACTTTCGGATTCACAGTTCAAGCATGCTAACAAATAAACTTGAAGAGATAGTGAATTAATTTTATTATTATACGTAAACGTAGTTTATATTTCTTTATTTTTAAATCCATGTTTATTAAGATATTTCATAAGGGATACTCATGAATTTATATCTATTGATATCGCAAATATATTTTGTTTGGATTGAAAATGTCTCCCTCATGATTCAAGTCCTTAGCTAGAAGAAATACGATCCTTTAGTAAAGTTTTATATATATATTTTTTATATATCACGGTTCTGGTGTTATTTTCTCTGTCTGTGGATATGGATGCTATAAAATTTACAAGTTCATCCAGTTTTCTTGAAATTAAAACAAAACAAATTAAATAATTATCCACTTATTTATTAAATGATTGTTAGATACAGCGATAATAAAATAAGCACAATGAAAATAAATTATTTTGTTCAATTTTAAATATCTGAAACCAGTCATAAATAAATTATTTACAAAACCCAAGGATCATCTAACGAAATATTTCAGGAGATTATAGTCGTATTTATGAAATGAGAAACTATTATGTTGGTTTTAATGAAAGATTTATAGCAGATGATTTTTAGTATCAGCAGAAGTGTGCGTGGGGCCACATGATATATATTAAGATGTCAGGGTAATGATACAATCCGTATCGCCATACTTTGTCCACACTGCAATTTATGTTGAAGAAAGAAGAAAGAATAAGAACAGAGTAACGGTAGAGAAATGCCATATTTAATTTCTTTAACGACAGGGCCTAACTCGAATGATTCAATACCCTCTACAGTTACTCTTTGATTGATTAAAGGAATTTAACTGTAGTAGACGAAATACAACACCCGAATTATTCATGTTAAACTTAATTGGACTGAACCCCCATAAAAACAGAACGGAATAGATCCGTATCGAGATTTGTACTTTCTGCATTCATGCATCAAATTATATTAAGATTAGTTGTGTTAAGTACTCACTTTAGTTTTTACTGTAGAGAAAAATATAACTTTTAAGAATAATGTTAATAGAAGTTTGGAGTTAATTGCCAATCAATTACTTTTAACCTTAGGAATTTGTTTTAAAGATTCACCTAATACCTACTATGGTCACGATTACTGCTATTGCACTAAAAATTAGCTGTGTGAGAAGTATCATTAATTATGTTAAATACTGATTAAAAAAAGGCAGGAAATGAATAATATTATACGTGATGGTGGATAATATTTAGATCCATGTGTCTTTTTAAACAGTGTTTACACTACATGTATATTTAATTAAATAGAAATATTAACGGTTAGTATTTTACGGTAGAATACCACACAAAATGTATCATAATACACGGAATAAAAGTTAAATTATTAAGGACGAAATGGTTTATTAGTAAAATGTATAACAAGGTACTTAAATCACAAATGTTTATGTTATGCTCAGTTTGAAGTAGGCTGGGAGCATTTAACATACAAATAACTTTTTAATAAGAGACCAATGTTTTTCCCCAAACCAATATTCGTATTTGTTTTTATAAGAAGTACTCAAGAAAAGCAATTTAAGAGAGCTTGTCCTAATGTCATGTGAGGTTTGTTTTCTATTAAAGTGATTGAATATTCGAGTCTTTTGAATTTTGTGCCTCAAGGAATTTTATTATTAAGGAGAATAAAAAAATACTTAAAATACATGAAAGGAAAATATGGAATCTTAAAACAAAATATATTTTTTCATTTGTACTTCACTGAATGCAAGATGAAAGGAGCGCGTAAATGTTAAAATGTATGTAAGATATCATTACTTTTAACAATCATCTGGAATAATAAATTAAGTAACTGTCAGATAAAAAGAAAGTTCGTTGAAAAATTTTCTACACCTAAGTTGCCAACGAGTTATTTGTTAAAGTTACTGGAAGGAGTTATGTGAAAAAACATAAATACAAAGCAGTTAACGGCTACCAGCTGCTTCTGCCAAGTCGTCTTAGAACTAATAAGTAAAATTTGCCGTATTCCGCTGAAAAAATGGGTACGACATCAGAAAACTTAAAATTAATAAACTGATAAATTATTTAATAAAACTATCGAAATTTGACAAAATCAAACCGAAAAAGATATGCTTCTGCATGTGTTCAAGTTCAAATATTGGTACTGTTAGGGTCTGCTGGGTATAAATGTGGAATTTTAATTGTTTATGATAACCAGAAAGAAATAATTTTCTATGGATTTATGAAGTAACTGATAAAAGATTGATTTTATTGAGAGAAGAAATAATAGCAAGGATAACTTACTGAACAGTCAATGGATTGTTTGTATAGAAAAAGTTAAAATGTTTTAATTTTGAAGGAATGTGTGTTTTAGCAAGGTTAAATCTTTCACCATTGAACAAAAAAGTTTTCTATCATGAAACTGATAATTTTGAATTATAACTAGAATGATAAAGATAACTAGAACGATATGAACGTGTACAGTTCTTTGAGAGTGAACAGTGAGTTCCGATCAGAAAAAAAAATTCCAGGAATTGTGTTTTAATTTACTTGCTAAATTATAAAGCTTACACTAAAAAAAATCTTATTTAAGAGTTGTCAATTATTTATAAATTATAATATATATTATAATTGAGGACTATTTACTGATCACACGATCATTCTGTAATTGGTGATCCAAAATATCTGATGAATGTGAATGGAGTGTAAAAGTAGTTGTCGTTTTCTTTCTTCACCCCCAGCTGTAGGACAGGACCTGAGGAGACCCAAAACGGATTTACAAGGACCACAATTTGCGGTCGAACCACCAGATGAAGCAATTTTTTTAAACAGTACGGGAACAGTGGTAAGATGTAATTCGATTGGCCACCCAATGCCGGAAGTGACGTGGTTATTACGAAATGGTCAACCAGTGTTTTCGGTTGCAAATGTCAGGAAGGTACAAAGAGATGGCTCTCTTATATTTCTACCTTTCCGAGCTGACGAGTATTCAAAGGAAATCCATGATACTGTTTACAAATGTAAAGCGACAAATAGCGTTGGAACAGTGGGAAGTAGGGATGTAAGGGTAAAAGGAGGTGAGAGTTTTAGATATATCAAATTATTACACTTTATTATATTTAATAGCAATATTTTAATTGCATAACAACAAGAACTTATTAAACAACAAAACTATACCAGTTGTTATTTTCTATGGCTAAATTAATAATAATAATAATACAGATTTGTAATACAGAAAATTATATCTTTATTTTCTTGTGTGAATATAACGTAACTAAAAAAAGGATAAATACATAAACTGGTTAAAAATATTGTATTTTATTTCTAAAAAAAACATAATTTAACTCACATAAAATAGTATAAACTCAGTAAAATGACTTGCAGTTTTCTGTTTCATCGTATTATCTTTTTTGTATATTATCTATTTATTTTTTGTACAATTACAGTAATGTATTCTTTATCTTATTTCAGGTTTTAAATAAGATATCCATTTTCAAATGATTAACAGCATATTTTTAATGAGGTAAAAAGTATCTTATAAAGAAGTCAGAAGGACACTATTTCACAAACGTTTTGTGCTGACTTAAAATCGTTTTACAAGAGCACAAAAGCATATTGACAACCTAGAATATATCTTAGAGGTTCTGCTTGTACAAAATACGCTAGGCTCTAAATTAATCTAATGCTGAAGTTAAATCGGCTTCTATTATAGAATTATCACACTGACTTTAAATTAGCTTCTATTAGAAAGACATCCTCTGTCTGCCTTTAAGTCAGATTTATTTCAAAGAACCTCCAAACTCTCTGTCTTTCACTCAAAAATAAAGAACTCTTATTTTCTGTTTTAAGCTATAGTTTAATAAAAAACTCCCACTCTCTGCCTTTAAGTCACATTCCAATTAGAAAACCCACACCTTGTCTTTAAGCCAGATTGTACTAAAAAACTAAATTTCTGTGTTTTAGTCAGATTCTTTTAAAGAAATCCAACTTTCAGCCTTTAAGACAGATTATATTAAAGAACTATCCATACTTTCTGTCTTTAAGTCTAATTTCATCTGACAAATCTCACTTTATGACTTTAATTAAGATAATATTCAATAATTCTCTCTATCCGTATTTACGTCAGATTTTACTAAAAATTATAATATTGATATTCTTTCATCGAGATTTAGTTTCTGTTATAAAACTCGTTTTTTTCATCTTTGATACCAGCCTCATTTATAAAATCTTTTCTCTAGAACTTGGGTGTCTTAGTGTCACTTTGTATGTCATAAACTCGGTCTATCTAGCTTTGACTTTATTAAAAATGTTGTTACTTTTTCTCTTTTGCCAGCTGTTAATATGAAATTCATACTGACTGTAATTATGAAACCTGATTTCTTCTACTTCAACGTCAACTTCTTTTAGAACACTTTTCTTTTATATTTCTCGTTTCTCTTATGAAACATATCCTTTTTTAACTTTACATTTAATTTCTATTATAAAATACATATAGATGTATTTTTACAAGAGAAAAATAGTTTTTATTTAAGTTTTCCATAACATTATCATCAAATTAAAGTCCGTGATATCCAAGGAAAGCGATAGATAGACTCCCAATCTTGACTGTTATGTAATCTGTGATATTAAACACTATTCAATACAAAATTCAGTAAAACTTTAACCGATAAGTACTATTAAAAAGTAATATTTTACACTGAAAAATATTGAACTAAGAAATACTAAGCTATAATGCTTTTTCCGTCTCAATTTTTTCTTCGTGCAAAGCTAAGTGAAATGGATGTAGGAACATGCTGATTAGTAATTATAATACAAACTGATTATAGGTAGTGTACTTTGATAACTAATGACATCATCGACTTACGGTTATTACTAAAACGTGCAATGAAATACAAAAATGTCATTTTTGCGACAATTAATGACACTATGCTGGAATATTATAATTATATATGAGAAAAAGACATATCAAACATTTTAAAGAATTATTACAGGTATGTCTTAGAAATAAATAATTAATTAACTTTTATAGTAAAATACCAAACGATTTATCTTTAGCTCAAAGTAACAAATTGGCACAATGAAATTCATCCAAAGAAAAATTCGCTTTAAGTTATTGCAACGTAGAATGTTTGAATATGTTATTATAATTATTTTTTTTTCAAACCAACTATTACAATTTCGGAAACATTATAATCTCATAATAATTCACCGAATAAAATAATTACAAGTTGAATAAACACGTGCAAAGTAAAAAAAAAAGTATTTTTAGAAACTAACAAATTTAAATAATTTTTTCATTAATTATGGATAATTGTCATTATTATATATAATATTGACTTGTGTCTAAAAAACAAAGTAATAAACATAATATTTTATAGGTATGTGTAACGTCAGAAATGCCCATATACAAACCTGGACTTTTCGTGGCGTTACAGGTAGGATGCGAGGATTTCAGTTATCTTAAGATAATAATTTTTTCTGATATCTTTAGGTAGCGTTTATGACGAATTTCCAATACAACATCAAGCGTATACGTGTTTACATGTAGAAGGTGAAGTTGTATTGTTACAATAAACTTGTTACATGTGAATGATCCACCTTGCTTGCCAATGCAAGGGGAGACTAGCTATGTAATGCTTTTGTCTCATCTTGAAGGAAGTCTCCCCACTGGTGAACCTAATGTCTTTTTTCACCCTTATTCATCTAGGTTTATAAAATAGTAGTTGTGGTTATAGAAACAATTTTCGTTTGTTCAAATAAATTCCGTTCTTTTTTTCTTTTAAAATACAGCAGAATATTTAGACCGAGTTCTATTAGACGAGATGAAATGATAGCATTGTACAATCCACGTGTTTCTCCCATTGCGCGCATACAAATTCAGGCAAAGTACTTCTTTGCCCATATGTAAGATGCTATCAAACACGGCTGTCAACCAAGTTCTGATCGTACAATCGATCTTATCCACCCTCCACTCCATTTTGGAACAACACGTGCTTTATCTGCCTCTCACCACAAACTAAATCTAAATCTTAGCGTGAGGTGATCTAAAGATCTGCTACGAACGAGATTTCATAGAACACACACAAAGAAAGAGTATAGAGAATCTTATGAAATTTCATGGCACAGCTGCTTACACTATAGGAGACGAGTGCTGGAGGCACGTGAGGAAAGACGATATATTCTAGCCAATTCAAGTATAAAGATAAGAACATTATTACGATCGTAAGATGTCCAAATTAGATTATGTGAAAGTTATATTCTGTCAGCTTCGCACGGAAAATAAGCATAGAATATCTGATAAAAAATACTGTTTGATAACGAGGAGTGTTTTATGTTTCATTAGTTCTGGATAAGATATGTGGTTTTGGTTACAGATTGTTGTGAATATGTAGTTATAACAAAAAGATAAAAGCAACTACTCTATATCTCTCTTTCTGATTTTTAGAGTTCCTTTTTTAGGTATCAGTTTTAGCTATTCTATCTAGATTGAAATAAGTTAAAGCGAATATTTTTTAACACTTTCTGCATTATATTTATGTATTTACAAACAAATACTGTTAGGATGAGCTCAGATTTCACCCTACTAACTACTATTAGTCTGCACTCACACTTATTTTCAAAGCACGTATTTATGTATCTAATAATGTTAACTTATACTAAACTATAGTATTAAAAACAATTTCGATTAGAATAACTCAAGATATCCTGTTACACACTACAAAAGTTATATATTTGCATATAATTATACACATTCATAGATGGGACTTTCTTAGGGATATTATGATCACAAATATAACAATTTAGTAACATAGAGACTTATACTCATCTAGATACTCATGAAATAGAAAAAAAATATTCAAAGCGATCATTTCTGTTTGCTAGTGCAATGACTAGCATTAACGTCATCATGCTTGCCATTTGGGTTGTTGTGGTGGTAAAATAAGCAACTCTCATTTATGGGTCTTAAGACTTGGGTCAGTGCATCAGGCGAGTGCAAGTAGGTGGTGAATTTATTGATGGTTCAAACAATATTACAGAAAATGTAATGGAAAAATGGAAAAATCTATAATTTTGTATGTGAACTCTTTGATTTACACAGAACATCATGCCTTGGTTTCATGCTGCCGTTTAGTTTAACAATCTACGATTGTGGAATATTGTTCCAAATGTTCTATATTACTAACCACAATTCAGACATGTTTCTACATAAGTCAATACAGCCTCAAAATGCTCATATTGGGATTTGTACTGGCCAAACTATGATTGTGAATGCTTCATAGGCCGTTTTACCATCAAGATATAGTTTCATCACATTTTCTGTATGCTTGGGATACTTTTTTGGTATAAGATGAATTCCTATCCTATGAGTCGTAATCCGGAGGGAATGGTATGATGGATCACAAACTGTCTGTACTTGTCGGCAGTCAGGGTGCCATCAATCATGTGAGATCACCAACACAGTAGTTCACTGTACAAGTTCATCTCTCCACCGACGAATAAATATTCATTTGTGAAGAGCACAGCTTTGTTCATTCCACAGTTTCTGGTCCAATGCTCATTTCAACTTTTTAGTTTAGTTGTTACTTCTTCTATGCAGTGAGGTTCAAGCAGTTACGTGGCTATCGAGAGTACTTCGTGTTAATGAGTAGCTTACATTTCTAGAGGTAACGTTCACGCCTGTATTAACCGTAAGGTCGTTGGCAAGACCGTTTTCTATCTCGTAAAGAACATACATTAATTTGGGAGAGTTTCGGTTTTGTACCTCGATCGAGTTTATTGTTAACAGTACCAGTTTCATGTATCATCTCAAGAGTCTTCTATACAGTTCCTACTGCAATTTTTCGCATAAAACATTAGCTTTCTTCACGTTTATCATGAGGTATTTATGTCCTGGGATTAACGACTGGATTCACTCTACAACTACTACTATTACTGCTACTACTGGATATGGTATGACTCCCTATACCTACATAGCCTTTATACTACTTTTGCATTTTTTTATTAGTTGGATGACAACCAATCAGGGTGTAAGCTATCAAATAGGGAATCTGCTCTTGCGCAGTTCATTTTCACACGG